CGTCCGTCGTCGTCTCTCTCTCTCTCTCTCTCTCTCTCTCTCTCTCTCTCTCTCTCTCTCTCTCTCTCTCTCTCTCTCTCTTTCTCGCTCCCAGTGGGAAAACATTTCACCCCATGATTTCCTACGGAAGGAAATCTGTAAAAAGCCTGCAGTTTCGACCTTGTCCTTCGTGAAATTACTCCGTGTCACACGCCGTCGTGAAATCCCTCAGGTCGTGTATGTTTTCGCGGTGCCGAGTGCGAAGTGCAAAACAACGAGTCGATATATCGATTCATTTCCGATAATATATTACCTCCCATGGCGATAACGTGTGTGTGTGTGCGCGTATATACGTAAACGTATGGCGTAAACGCGTATCCGCGCTGGTTGATCCCCTATCTCGATGTATCGAGTATCGCATTTAACACGCCGTCCAAATTATCCATGGCGTGGGGCACGCGCGAAAAAAAAATACTGCTCTCGCGTTCGACGACAATGATGTATCGATCGTTGCACGCGCCCGTCGCCAGAAATAACTGCAACGGTAATCACTTTTAATCAGGCGAAAGCAATTTTAACATTTATTATACTCCCAACAATTTTTCCCAACACGGTACAGGCGTGCGTGGAGAAAAAATTTTACGTGTGTAGAAAAATTTATTTCCAAAGGGGGACGAGATACAGCGGGCGATCGTTGTGATATTCTAATTCTGATTTAATGACGACTTAATTGAAGTCGAGGCAACTTTTCCGCGCGCGTGATAAGTGTGTCACTGTTTGCTCATTCGACCGCGACGATCAAGCGGACGTAATCGCCAGCTATACCGAGAAACCACAAAGATTCCAGAAAACAAACGTTGGGTGTCTCAACGGGTTTTCGAGCCGAGTTCACTTTGCTCGCTTGGAGCGAAATTGCGAAACACGTTAAAACGTTATCTCGGTTAAAATATTTGCATGCGCAGATATGCAGGGACAGAGATAAGAACATACGCGTGATTAATGCGTATTTGTTTTCTTTCTCTCTACTCGTGCTCTCGCTTTGTGTAATTGACTCGAATGCCAATTAGCATTTCGCGACACGAGGTGTATTCCTACGCGAGAATTGCGCGTTTTCGCGCGAGCGCAACGCCGACGCGCGAGACTCGTCTCGCTTGTGGGTCGAGTCGACTTGCCGCCCTTATTGTCGCGTTCACACGGACCGCAAATACGGGAGAATCACACCGACGCACACCGACGTCTGCGTCTCCCTTAGTGCGAGTGCAACGAAGCAGGGTGCACGACCCGGCTCCGGACGGCGATGATGTAGAGCGAGCCGCCGTGTATTTCTAGAGCAGCCGGCTCAAGAATAGAACGGCAAGTAGACGACTGAATTAAATATATAGACGGTGAATGACCGGCAAGTGGATTACGAAATTTCATTGAAGTCACGAAGACCAGCCGGCGCAGGTTAAATCCGGTATATCGGTGTCGAATGCGGTGTAAATTGTTAATTGGCCGCTCGGGCGGCAGCGGCGGCGACGGCGGCGGCGGCGGCGGCGGGTGAATTATATTATCTTTTCCCTCCGATTTATCGAGGGAGTTGGTCCGCTTTCGACTCCCAGCGAAATCATCATAGACGATTCGACTCGAGGAGTGAGATTGCAGTTTTAAATCGTCCCGGGGCGATCTAACGTGATCAACGCGGTCTGAAGTCTGGACGGAATTCGCTCCGCGATTAAAAAACGCGGAGAAGTTTTTTTCAATTAGATTTTCAGAGCGGCTAAGTTTCATCTGCCTGGATTATCGGCGACATTCGAAATATCTGCGAAATCGTCCATTCATTTTTCTTCCTAGCTTTTGTACGAGACGAAGATACGGACGTACGAAACGTACGAAAGATTGCGGAAATAATCGCGGCTCCGACAGAGATTAAACTCGCGAGATTTGAGAATATATGTGAGTGGGAAACCGTCCTGCCGTGGATATTGTAGCGTGTACACATTAGAAAGGACTATAAATATCTGAAAATGACAGAGAAAGTGGAAGGGTTAGTTCGCGTTGGAAATACACGACGCCCCCAAACCCGTGCGCGTTTGCTATCCTGACTCGTCGTAGCGGCGCAACGACGGAGAACGGTAAAAAAAAAAAAAAAAAAAAAAACGGATTAGATAGGGAAACCAATAACCAAATAAGCCTGGTTCTTTTGTCGACCTAAAATTCTCCATTCGTTCGGCAGAAAGAGTTGAAATCCCCCGAGCGTCCTCGTCGTCGAGCGCTTTCGCGCGAATTGATACTTGAGGATTTAATCGGGAAAAACTGGGAAAAAAACGTAAAACGCATATATATATAAGCGGAAAAAGTCAGAAGTAAGGAAAGTTAACGGTAGCAATCCGGAGTTGGCCGCTTTCAGTTCGCCGGATGTTCTTCAAACGAGCTGGAATAGCTGGCGTCGCGGTTCGATATCCTCAATGGAGCCACAATGCACCGGGACGAGTATATTGTTCGGCGCAGTACATCGTGTCGGCCAGTGGATTTCCTTGTCCTTTGGTTGATTAAGCCTCGCGACAATGCTTTAGCAGTCGTAGTAATTCAGAGAGAAATATCTGAGAGAAACAAAAGAAGGATTATCCCGATTATAAATGGGGCTTGACATAATATAATCCTTTCTCTCGCAAAAATTTGCGTGCTATGATATATGAAATAATTTAATCAACTTAACAAGAGGGTGAAAAGATAAATCTTCTTGCTTTTCCAGAAGGATGCCAGCAGCTGGTGCAGCCGTGCCGGCCGTTGCCGAAGCTGGAGCCGGTCAGCTGGAGGACCTGGACGAACCACCGGAACCACGTGTTCGGGGTGGTAGCGGACGAGCCGGCTTGATGAAACCCCTGGTGGTGTTAGCCCTACCCGGAATGTACCTCTTCTACAAGTACAGCCAGTACAGGCGGGAGCAGCGCGAGTTATCCCGCAGAAGAGTGACCGAGAGGGAACTTCAACATCTTCATCACAAAATCGTGAGTGAAGTTTTTCCAATGATTGTCCGCCGAACATTTTACCTGCCGGTCGAAAAAACGCACGAGATGCGTTTCACGATATCAAAAACATCCCACCTGTTTCGTTACGTCATAGGTCATACGTTTCAGTCTATTTTTAAAAGCCGCCGATCAGAATGAAATAATAACGATGACGACAATATTAACTACGTACAGATACGTTTCTATATATTTATTTACGCCGATTCGAGAGCTATCGGATATTATCTCTGCGCTGGAGGGACGAAAATACAAATTATATCGAATTACGAATCAAAGAGCGAATAAATGGCAGCCGAAAATAAACGTGATGTATCGCCGTTTCGTCTCGGTAGCTTTTTATTATACATATATCCGACGATATTGCTTTCGTTGTATCGTGTACCGAAGACAAATGACAACTCTGAAACGTGACGCGACCACGAAAGTATTATTGCCGCCGATATTGATCCCTGACGTGATTCGCAACGACGGGATTCGCGGAAAAAAATCATTTCACTCTTTCTGAAGATCAAAAGATTCACGCTTCTCGACGTATATATCGTTTATCGGAGGTCTTTCGACGAGAGATGACGAGATTACATACCCCCCCATCTCTATGAGGATGTTAATAACACGTGCAAACGAAGAAGAGGGAGAGGCAGAATAAACTACTACGTGAGAGGAAAAGAGAGAGAGAGAGAGAGAGGAGGGGGAGAGCGAAGAAACGATGAAAGGGTTCGATTACCCGAGGATAACGTGATCATCCCTCGTCTCTCGGGGAAAGCTGCATCGTCTTCTAAAGAGTACAGAGCCACTTGCTTTTGCACGCTGTGATCCTTATTAAGCAGTCTGCACGACGACGTTTTGTCTTCGTTATTATCTGGGATCCTCCCTTGCACTGTCTGAAGGAAATGAGATCATATAATGTTCCCGCATAATTTCTCATATCGAATAATTTCGTAATCCACCTTCTTATTTTCGTTTCGTGGGGGGGGGGGGGAGGGAGGGGAAATATTTAGATATATTTAGAATATTTAGAAATATTTACTCTCGTGACATACAATTTCGGCTTCATTTTATTCGTATATATGTATGATGTATATAATTATTTCAAATATCAATTGAGCGTATCGAGCAGGGTGATGCTCCTCCAATGCCCAATTTGAGAGGTAGCTAATATTGCGAAATTCATCTGTGGAAACTCGGGGAAACTTTGTAAATTCTGAATGCACCTATATTGATTCCTGCCCGGGCTGTCGTGCTTCGCTCGACTTAACAGGCTGGACTGATCGTTGATGGTAAGACAACTTACGACGACTCGACAATGTAGATGCGCCTCAACAGCGTATCGGAAACGGCGTATCTCCTAACTTGCAATTCCTATTTAAGGAATTCGATTGAATAAGGGAGATCGCGGGAATTCGTTTTCGTTTTTTTTTTTTTTTTTTTTTTTCGTACCACCACTCCATTTAGATAAATTAAATCTCGGCCGTGTGTGACGTGTATAAATTGTCTGGAAACTTACGACAGTGGTGATCCAGTCATTCTCTCAAGGTCATCCCTTGCAGCGTCCCGGTTTGGACAATTTGTTGGGTCACTGTTAGGACTTGGCGTAGCAACCGCTGCAGGATGAGGCGGGTAAAAAGTGTCTCCCGCTAGGGAAACCTGCCAAGAAGCTGCATATACTGTTGTCGGATCGTTACTGGGATATCTCGAATACCTCGTGTAGCCTCCGTAACCATGGATCATGTCCGTGGAAACCGGAATTTCACGAAGCCAGTTCACGTTCAGCCAGCTGATTTATCACCGTGCGTAACTCACTATCTGAAAACTAAACTGGAAACCACTGCTGGACCCGCGGTCCGGAAAGCGGGACGCTGCCCGACGTCCTAATATCGGGCAGCGAAGAAAAAAAAAAAAAAGAAAAAAAAGAGCGGATGGAAAAAACTCTCGTAAGGAAGAAATGAAAATTATATCGGCGGGCTCGCGTGATATTAAACGACGCCGGGAAGTCCTTGGGAGTTTCCGCGGAGAAGCGATCATAACCCCAACCTTGACAATAAACACGTGAACGTAAGTAAAAGCAACCGAGTAAACTCGCGTCGCGTCGCTTGAAAAATCAAGCGATCCTTACCGAAACTGGTGGAACTTGACGGGGAACGAGAGATGTAGGCGGCTTTGCGTTTCCCAGATAAGGTTCACGCCAACCGGACGTTAAGATCCCGATCGTGCCTGGCCGGGCACGTGGACCTTATCCACCGTATTCGGTTTTTATTGCCATCGTGACAACGACGACGGCGAACGACGAACGAGGAAAGACGAAGGACAAGGAAAGGAAAATCGATGTGTACCTAGTCACTTGAGATTATCGGCATCAGATATCGCGTTCCTCTTTACTTTCGATATTGTTTCAACGCTGCTCGCGACAGTTTCGAATTTCCACTCACCCACCCGTGTTTGGAATGAAACAAACTGCCATTGGAGCGCTAAAATATAATGCAACATCTTTCAGTTCATAATTTTTTTACTTCTTTTCAAGATATATATAAGGATTATCGAGTTGCATATCTTCACTTAAAATAGCTCGAACATAAAACTCTTTGTATAAAAATCTGACCGATTTTCATGCCCTCTGTTCATTTTTACGTTTATCGTACTTATCGTCTTTGAGACTTTTTTTCACATTAATCTAAATGCAGACGCATGCGTTCTAGGTTACAACAGTTGTAAAAACAAGGGAAAAAAAATTTTCTCCCTCGATGCCACGTAATTGGCTTTGCAGAAAATAACAATCCAGCAAGGTTGTATTTTGTGGTAGCAACCGGCGGTTGACTAAAGTTTTACGTCGCTGTCTGCTTCCCCTTTCGAGTCACGTAAATGCACGTCCACGCGATTCCCGAGACTCATTGTTCACCACCCTGCAACCGTCGGCGAACTAACAAACTTTTCGATCCACGGTCAGCTAACGATCCAAACTGTACTATTGTTCTGACAATCTTACAATGAAACGTTTATTCTGTCGTCGAAATTTATTTGGTTTCATTGTAAGATTTTAAAGACATCTGGAAATACATCTTTATCTCAGAAAAGAATTTTGTAAATCTTTTTTAAAAAATAAGTTATGTGACTTTGCCAAGAACGAGAGCTTTTTTTTTTCATTAATCTCGAGATATAAATAATGTTGCATGCGGGTTCAGAAAGTTCATACGTATCAGTTTAAAATCAGCAGCCTATGGCACAAACTTAAATAATGAACTCGCAAAGCTTGGCTGTTGACCTCTGATGCATTTGGCTAGGGGTTGATAATACCATTAAGAACCGCACGAATAATGCGCGAACGCTGGAAACACAGGTCAATGCGATCTTCCACTTCCGTCAGATTGCGTGAGCGTCAATTATTCAATTTCAGGAGACAGTTCCTCGAATAATACCTTCTCTATTCGCCATTACAGCTATAACCTTTCACGATGAATTTCACCGTCAATGTTAACATCTCTTCCCTATGTTAACATTTTAAACAACGTATAATTAATGTATTTGGAACAAGTAATTAATTACAATAATAGCCTACTAACTGATTGTAGTTAAAAGAAATTTCAAATCTTAAATAGCGAAGGAGAGAGAGAGAGAGAGAGAGAGAGAGA